CAACACAAAAAACAGGGCTGGCAGAGTGGTTCCAAGAAAAAAAAAAAAATCGAACACCAGATATTTTTGTTTGTTTAACAGAAAAAGGAAATCCTTTCTATTTAGTCATAGGTAGATTTTTTAAAAATCATATTAATAAGTGTCTATTTGTTAGACAATTCTTTGGGCATGAAATTGCCTCTTTACGAACTGCTGGAATTCCAGTATAAACAATAAGCCAAAAACAGGTTTGTTCAGAAACTAGATTGGGTTTTTTTTTTTTTTCTGGCAGCACAAGAGTTTGAACTCAGGGCCTCATGCTTGCTATGCAGGTGCTCTTACTGCTTGAGCCACTCCACCAACCCTTTCCTGTGATAGGTATTTTCAAGATAGGGTCTCGAAATCTATTTGCTTGGGCTGGCTTGGAACTGTGATCCTCCTGATCTCTGCCTCCTGAGTAGCTAGGATTACAGTTGTGAGTCACCAGTGCCTAACCTGGGTCTCTTTCTTTAGAGTCAACTGCTTCATTTCACATCCTGGGGATCAACTAGCACCTTGATCATCAAGTGTTTCTGCTTAAAAGTACTTGATCCTCTAAGGACAATGACTAGAAGGGAAGTGGCAGGGCATTCTGAGATGCAGGCACAGGGCTGGTAAGAAGGGAGCCTCTCTCTCAGCCCACAGAACTGTCACAGTGCTGTACCCCTGGGTGTGCACTTTCTAAACACTCCACCAAAGCCCTCAATGTGTTTGTGTGCATTGCTTGCAAATGCTAGACTGCAACAGAAAACTGCTTCCTCAGGAAAATTGGGAGTGGGAAAAGAGCAAAAGGCTATTTTCTTTAGGAAAAAGAAAAATAGCATTAAGATGTATTACCTAGGGCTGGTAGAATGGCTCCAGCAGTAAGAGAACCTGCCTAGCAAGCATGAGGCCCTCAGTTCAAACCCCAGTGCCACCAAAAAATTACCTATTTAAAATATATCTATACATGTGAAATAAATAAGGATTTATTTATTTCCAGTAAGGATTATTCTCAGAATGGGAGTTGGGAATTTCAGTGGAGGTCGTTAGTTTAAGCAGGTTAATGTTACAAATTGAATGATTCCCTTAGCTTGCTCCTGGTCTTCCCGTTTTCTTGTTAACAACTGAGTTGTTAATGCATTCTTGGAAATATCAGTTCTGTTATATTTAATATATTTTCTCCAATGTCATAGAGGCTGTTCTCCTGTCCCAATATCGCCTGCATTAACAAGATTATCTGAAGAAGGCAAAGGTCGTAATTGCTATTGTGCTACCAATTTACCGCATGACCTTGAACAAGATATACTGGCTTCCTTTGTCTAAATTTCTTCATAGGTAACATGAGTGTGAGTTCACACTCAAAAAGACTTCTTAGGCCCCTTTGAGTAGTAAAATGCTGATTCCTTGACTCCACCTTCCTCTAAGAAGGTTCTTATGCATCAATGCATCAACGTGTCTTCAATTTTTTTTTTTTTTGGCAGCTGGGGTTTGAACTCAGTGCCTCATGCTTGTTAGGCAGGCACTCTACCACTTGAGCCACTCTATCAGCCCAACATGTCCTCACTTCTAAGGGGGTAAAGACCTATGTCCTAACAAAATGCCGAGAAGTAGGACCAGGCTGGAATTATTTATAACTTACTTTGCATAATGGTTAGTAGTCAGACACTTGATTCTACCAGTCAGTACAGTACAGTACAGGTAGTCTTGCCCTTGTGGTTCAGGAAACCGAATCTCATGGAGGTCAGTTTAGCTCCTCAAGCCTTTGTAGTCAGCAAATAGAAAAGCTAGAAGGTTGTAAGTGATTTTTTTTTGTAATAAGACAATTGTGTGTTTAAAATACTTGAAGTAAAGATCAGTTTTAGCTGGGCGTGGTGGTACACACTTGTAATCCCAGCCCTTGGGGGAGGCTGAGGCAGGAGGATCAAGATTAACCAGGTCAAGGCCAGGTACTGTGGTTCATGTTTGTAATTCTAGCTACTTGGAAGGCAGAGATCAGGAGGATGGAGGTTTGAGGTCAACTTTGGCAAAAAGTTAGCCAGACACTAATCACAACAAATTAGACAAGTACAATGGTCCCAGTTACGTGGGAGGCTGTAGGTAGGTGATTTGCAGTCCAGGCTGGTTGGGCAAACACACAGACACTATCTAAAAAATAACCTAAAAGAGTCTGGAGGTGTGGCTCAAGTGGTAGAAAAAAAAGGATGAAGCCTTGAGTTCAAACTCGAGTACTGCCAATGAAACAAAACAAACAAACAAAAACCCTAAAACCAAAAGGAGCTGGAGGCCTGGCTCACGTGGCAGAGTGCAAGGGCTGGAGCTGAAACCCCAGTACTGCCAAAAAGGAAAACAAAAAATTCTGAGCTACATAGTGAGACACTGTCTCCAAAGCATTGGTCTTTTGAAATGATGGATTCTTTTCTGAACATTTCAAGGTCTTTATTCCCCTTTAGCAGGTCCTTTCTAAAAGCATTCAGCACTAATTTACAGTATAGTGTATTAGAGATTAGAGGTTATAGTACACAAAAAAGGGCAAGGGGCCTTCCAGACCTGATTGGGAAAGTACTTCCCCATGAAGAAGGAACACTTAGAGGTCCCCTGGGACCAGTGCAACCCAAGCATCAACAACGAAACACAAAATATCATGTGTCATTAAGAAAAAATTATCATTATATTAGCATCCAAGTGTATAGTTTGTGCCAAACCAATACTAAAGAAAAAAAATTCACCCTTGGTTACTTCAGCAAATTGAGCCTTTTATTTTCATGTATTCAGAGGGTAGATTTTTTTTTCCCCCCTGTGGTGCCAGACCAAACCCAGGTCTAGGTGAGTGCTTTACCTCTGTGCGACATCCCCAGCCAACATATACATATATATATATATATATATATATATATATATATATATTTTTTTTTTTTTTTAATATCAAAAAGAAAAAAGAAAAGGAAATGAAAAGAGCCAGTGCCAATGGCTCATGCCTGTAATCCTAGCTACTCAGGAGGAAAAGATCAGGAGGACTGAGGTTTGAAGCCAGCTCAGGCTTCAAAAGAACCCATCCAAAAAAAAAAAAAGAAAAAAGGCTGGTAGAGTGACTCGAGGTAGAGGCCCTGAGTGGAGGCCCTGAGTACAAAAAAAAAAAAATTTAAATTTTTGTAAGAGGAGATAGCAATTCCAATCATGATCTTTTCATCGTGAAGTATTCTTCTCATACTGAGTTTATTTCATCTGTTATTGTCGACTCTAGAATTCATATTTTTCATCAGAAGTAGAAATATACAGCCTGTTTTTAAGGAGTGTTTTTTTCCAAATATTGTACACAAGGGAATGTCATCATTCCCTCCCCCCACCTTTTTCAGATTTTTATTTTTGCTTTTGAGACAGGGTCTTAATATGTAGCCAGGCTGTACTGACACTCCCTATATAGCACAGGCTGGCCTCAAACTCACAATCCTGCCTCAGTCTCCAGAGTGCTCAGATTACAGATAAGTGCCACCAGTCCTGGCAAATGTCATGATTCTTACATGCTCTACCAGGACTCCTGAAACCTAACACTGAGAAAGGTTATGCTGGGAATCTTCAAAATCAATCTGGTTTTAGGTAGAGGAGGGAGGTTCTGTCTGGAGGCAGGGGGCTGACATAATGACTTACAAGGAGTCTGCCAGTTTTTAACTCCTTGATCGTGTGACAGCTCCCGGTAGATACAGATTTCCTTGTAAGGATAGAGCAAGAAGTGTATACAATTACTTTATGAATTATCAAAGTGGGAGTGTGATGGTGAAGGGGAGAAGGGATTTAGCTGGGGTAGTGAGGGCGCCTGTTTTCCTGGTTACTGGAGTGTCATGGTCTTTATTATGTCTTGTATTGTCCTGGGGTAGCTGAAGCCATTGTAGCCATGGAAATGATGGCAATTGAAATGAGATAATTTAAAGTGGACTGGGGTCTCTTTGATATACAATGTGCAACACGATTGTATTTGATGGGCACACATTTCTTCACTTTCCGTCAAATGAAATGATAAAAAAGAAAATAAGTCATCATTTGATGGCTCAATATTTTTTAAAACTCAATTTTGGTACAATGCTAAATAATTCAGTAGCATTTCTGTGTGATTATTATTCTAAAATTACTATTTGAATAACATTTACATTGCGGCAAAAAAAGCACAGCGGCTCCTACAACTTTCCATCAATTTCTACAAATCAAACTTTCTATCCAATGTGAGCTAATACCCCCAAATTCAAAATCCCGTGTAAATCACTCCCAGTGATTTGTTTCAAAATTTGCAAGCCCCGTGGCACATGGGTTTTACCTGTCACATCACTTTCTATGAAAAGCGATTGAAGAATCCTACACTGTAAGGACTGCACGTGCCTCGCGCCCTCCACAGAGAACTCTAGCCTGAGCTTTTCTCAGAGGCATGACCTCTGCTCCTAGCAGGTAAATTGCCAGCGGGAGAAGCAAGTGTCAGCCCAAAGGAAACCCGGTTATGGGATTTCCTTTTTCTTTTTCCTCTTTAACCCATCACTTTTAGGAGGAGTTCTCCAGTCCAAAGTTCTTGCCACGGATCACCATCTTTTTCACCTATCTGTCCCCCCACCCCCCCTTGCTGGAAGAACTTGCTTGCCGTGACCTCCATCTCCCACCGGCTTCCCCTAAACCCGGGTCCCCGAGGCATTCCAGGGGACCTTCCCAGCCCTAGCCCCTTCCAGGGCGTCGCACGAGGCGCGGGGCGCGGGGCGGGGGGGACACGGGGCGCTCCAGGTGCCGCGGGGGGAGGGGCGCGGTGGGTGGGACCGGCGGGGGAGGGGCGCGGCGGCGGAGGAGGAGGAGGAGTGCAGTGCGAGCGAGCTAGAGAGCGAGGAGCGTGTGTGGCTGGGGGAAGCCATTGCCTGTTTAATAGTTGCTGTTGCTGCACTTCCGCTTCTCTCCCAGCGAGAGAGAGAGAGAGAGAGAGAGAGAGAGAGAGAGAGAGAGAGAGAGATAGGAGAGAGGGGGGAGAGAGAGAGAGAGAGGAGAGAGGAGAGAGAGAGAGAGAGAGAGAGAGAGAGAGAGAGAGAGAGAGAGAGAGAGAGAGAGAGAGAGAGACACGAGTGGCCAGGCCCAGCCGCAGCCGCAGCAGCAGCCGCCGCGGCGGCACGGACGAGCCAGACACAAAGAGAGGTACGGGGATCCCCCCGCTGCCCGCCGCCCCCCGGCCGCCCGCCCGCGGGGCCTTGGGGACGCCCTGCCCGCGCCGCTGGGCCGCGGGGCCGGGGACACCGGCGAGGGGCTGCGGAGCCCGGGGACCGCCGGGGGAGGGGGGATGGGCAGGGTCCCCGGGCCGCGTGGGGTGCGGGGCCGCCCGCGTCAGGGCGGGGGGGGGGCGGGGGCACCGCGGCTCGAACTGTCAGCGCCCCGGGGAGCCCCCCGCTGGCCGCCTGCGGCGGGGCGGGGGAGGGGAGCAGGGGAGCCCCGTTTTCCCCCGGGGCGGGCGCATTGTTGTTCCTCGCTGTCCAGGCCGAACCTCCTTCGCCCCCCCGCACCCCCTCCGCCACCACTCACACACCGTACCCCAGCCCAAAGCGGGGACCCCGAGGGGCGGCGCTGGGACCGAGGCCCCCGCCACCTCTCCCCGCCCCCACCAGGCACAGCTCCTCGCCGCCGGCCCCCCCGCCCGTTTCGGCTTCCTCTCTCACTCCTGCTCCCCCCGTCCTCCCCAAACTCCGCTCGTAGTGTCTCCCGGGCCACTGGCCTCGCGACCCCCCGAAAGCGACCCAAACAACCCGCGCCCCCTCCCGTCCCTGCGCCCTGTCCTCCGCGGCTTCCCCGGGACCTTGGGGGCGAGGGAGGGCAGGGCCGTCCCCCACTTGAGGACAGAAATAAACAAGCCGCGTCCCCATTGCAGAAAGCAGCCTGTGACCGCGGGCCCGGGGACTTTGGAAGCGTGCAGGGCGGTGGGCACCCTCCTGACAGCGCCCGAGTTCCTTATTTATTTACGCCGCCTGCATGGTCTGTGTCTCTGTTTTGTTTCCTCCCCCCCTCCCCCCTCCCCCCTGCAGGGGCCGTTTGCGGGGTGGGGTGGGGGGTTCGCTATGTCGGATGACGATTCGAGGGCCAGCACCAGCTCCTCCTCATCTTCGTCCTCCAACCAGCAAACCGAGAAGGAAACCAACACCCCCAAGAAGAAGGAGAGTAAAGTCAGCATGAGCAAAAACTCCAAGCTGCTCTCCACCAGCGCCAAGAGGTACCCACTCCTCCCCAGCTGCCTCCCCTCCAGTCAGAGCTGAGCCAGCCTGCTGGTTTATCTGTCCCCCAAAATGAAGAGGGGGGTTCTGGGAATCTTAGCTATGTTGTCTTTTGTTTTTGCTTTAATCATTGTCAACTGGCAGCACTTGTGACTTGCCTGGTCCCCGTCCTGAAGTTGTAAGAATCTTTCGTACTTTTATTAGTGACCCCCAAATCTGACTTCAGATTACTTGTCCTAGCAATCACGAATGATCAAGTGGGATGATCCTTCCATGGGCTGTCATCCTACCTTATAATCACAAATGCTTTCCCAGACAGCTCTATCAAAATGAGTTCTAGGACCATCTTACTTCCTTGTCACCTGTTGCAGGGATTTTTTTTTTTTTTTGAATTGCGTTTTCTCCACAAATTGCATAAGGAGTCAGTAACTCACATTAGTGGGAAAAATTTTGTAGGTGACGTTTTCTGCTGGAATTGAAAGAGCTTTTGATTTGCAGTCGAGGCAAATGAATGAATCAGTAAATGACTGTAAAATGGCTAGTCCAGAGATGGGGGGTGGAGGTTGTTCAGTATAAGAACTTCCATTTTTTAGGGAGACTTTTTTTTTTTAATCTGTGCTGTTTGCTCTCATGTAAAAATGTGTCACTTTTTTTTTTCCAGTTGAATTCAAGCAGTGGCTTTTTCTTTATTCTTTTCCTCTTCTCTGGAGGTAGCTACTTTTGGTGGTGGTGGGGGTGATACTGGGGTTTGAACCCAGGGCCCCATGCTTGAGCCACTCTTGCCAGCCCAAAGGTACCTACTTTTTACCTCCATCATTCTTCAGTAACATCATCTGATATCTGTGACCGTTAAAATAGATAGCAAATTCCTGAGAACCTTTTCATAAATCCCTCTGTACTTAGATAGTTGTTAAACTTTAATGGCAAGCTAGGAAGGTGGTAAGGAAACCAAATGGTGGGTTACACAGGGGTCTGTTCTAAAAGAATTTAAAATCAAATGGAAAATGAAGCTTAGGTCTCTGCTGAGGAGTGAGTCTGAAACTCGGACTCTGAGAGTTTGGCCCATCGAAGACCAAACTTTAAATACTTGGAATTTGAAAACTTAGTAAGCTGTTTTGGTGTCCTGGTGTCAGTGACTTAGCTTATTTTAAACAGTGTGGAGGTCTTAAGTGTCACGATGCCTTTGCAAGATTGCTCTCATTTTCAGAGGGTTGTTGGATTTTATCTCAGTTTCTCAGGAGTTCTGACCCTCCCTCTTTGATTGGCCCTCCTGAGTTCTGAACTTGGCATCTCTGCCCTCCCCACTCTGGGTGAACCCTTCCTTAACAATCTCACCTCCCCCAGAACTCTGAGTGCCCACTCTCACTCAGCTTTTGGCCTGACTTGCCCCCATGAAGGCTCTTTGCTTTCATTACTGTTTTCACATTTAGCAAAATGGGTATCTTTGGTGTGCATGAATATATTTGAAGGTAAAGGTACAGGTGTTGAGTAAAATGTAGTTTGCTTTTGTCAGTAAATTAGGAAGAGTGAGATTTTCCCCCCCCAGGCTCAGTTTGTCCATTTATGCTAAGGAAGTTAAAACTTAACTTGGAAATGACTGGGAAAGAGATGGTAGGTATAGAAAATGAAAGCTACAAATAGTAATTTATCTATAAGTGAACATAGGTTTGTTTTTCTTTCTTTCTTTCTTTTTTTTTTTTTTTGGTGCAATGATTTTAGATCCCTAGATGTCTTCCTGAAGGAGTAGCTATTTGTGTTAAAGCAGAATTAAAGTTAATATCAAAAGGCAAAAAGTGAAGGACAGGAAAGGGTGAAAGGGGGGAAAAGGATGTCAGTGGGACCCCATAGAGGGTGCTGTGTGAAGTAAGTTGTTACCCATAGAATTGGAAGAGAGATGTGTACCAGTAGAGAAAATGAAGCCTGCCTTAGGAGGCTTAGAACCTGGGTAGAGGAAAGGCCCGGATGTGACATACCTATGAGTTTCTCTTGCACATCTTGGGCCAGTACTCTGGAAATGTTGCAAATGGATGAAGTGGATACGGCTGTGTGGTATTACACTTTTTAGGTATTTTTGAGCTCAAGGGGAGGAAAATTTTGCCTGTGTACATAGGTCTTAAAATATAGTCAGTTGGAAAACATGCAAGATTCTTTACAAATCAGGAAGCTAGTGTTCCAAACTTTTTGAGACTCAACATCTTACAATGAGTGAAACAACAGGGAGGTCAATGTGTCACGACTGAAATGCGAATTGGTAAGTAGATCTTAGCAGGACACTGATAAATGGATGTCAATAGAGACTGTGGACAAGCCCCATTCTAAAGTTGACCCGATTTGTAGTTGACAGGAAATGTCCTTCAATAGGAAAGTTTAAAGAACTTCCCCAGTCATTATCCTTATTTCTTTTTACTTTTAAACCTGGAAGAAACAATGCCTTCTAAAACCTCATTGCATGTAGCTGGCCTCTTCCTAACCCGCAGAAAACCTTGGGAAAGAGAAAAACACCCATTGTCATTCAGATTGCTGAGTGCAAGAGTGTGTGTGTGTGTGTGTTGGCGCTCAGTGATGTCTTGAGTTGTCACCGCCCCCGGGGTTTGTAGGGCAGGCAACGTGGAGCGGTGGGAGAAGCTACGGGCCCCGAAGTTGGTCATGACTGGTGGTCAGAGCGCCTAGGTGGGCGGGAGACAAAGGCCGGGGTGTGAACGGCCGGGTCGGTCGTCCGGGCGGGGTGGGGGCGGGGCGGGCCGCGGCTGGGGTCGGCGGTGGAGGGGGTGGGGGGGGGCAGTGGGAAGTTTGGGCCACGACCCGAGCCGGCCGTGGGCGGGCACCTGCGGCGTCCCCGCCTCTCCCTCCCCGCGGCTTGAGCGCGCGGCGGCCGCGCGGGTCGGTGGCCCGAGGGCCTTGCGGCGAGCGGCCATGTTGGCCTCGGCGGTGAGACTGGCGCGGGGGAAGCGGAGAGATGGGGGGCGACCTTCCTCGTGGTGACTCTGGTGGTTCTGGTGGCCGGCCTGGGCAGAGGCGGTTCACGAGGAGCCCCCCCCTCCCTCACCGTACCGAGCAACTTGGAAGTGACCTCCAAGTGCGGGGCCCGAGCGCCACCCAGCACCGCCTGGCTGGCTGGGAGCCTTCGCACCTGCGTGTGTCCTGTCCTCCCTGTGCCCCGTCTCCGCCCACGCGTCCGTCCCTCTCCCCCCTTGTCTCCCATGTGTACCCTGTCCCCGAGTGTGACCTGCGCCCTAATGAACACCCTCTGTCTGCAGGATTCAGAAGGAGCTGGCGGACATCACTCTGGACCCTCCACCCAACTGCAGGTGAGCTGTCCCCTCTGCAGTCCCCACCTGTCCCGGGACTCCCTGCGGTGCGGGAGACCTTCCCTCCCTGTGCGGTTCCCTGGTTTTGATGGGCTAAGCTGAAATTTATCAGCCCGAGTGGTAATGTCTTGATGAACCTTTGACAAGCGCACTGGAGAAAAGATTTGTTTGGAGTGTGCACTGTGCTGTTCGTGAAGGAAACTCGGAGTAAATCTGTAGCAAGCACCCCCGCCTCCTGGCTCTGATGCGTTATTTAAGGGTGAGTGGCAGAACCATTTAGGTACACGTTGGTGTAGAGAACTGTTTGCTGTAGCCATCTCTTAGCCAAGCCCTGCTAAGCTAATGGAACAGAGAATTAAACACTGGATCAGCAAACTTACTACACTGATTGTAATTTTGTGTTGGACTTTTGGCAGAGCAATTCCGGAAATAATTTGTGGCTTTGATAAAAGGATTTTGTTTTAAATTATAGATTTAAACTCTCACAAAGTGGTGTTTTTCCTTGATATTGCTTCATTCAGACTGTAAATATATGTGTGTGTGTTTCAGTTTCAAAACAACTTGAAACCACCTTTGAAAAGGTTTGTTGGTCACTCTTAGACTAGCATTTTGCTACTGTTGAGGCAGGGTGGAAAGAGTTGGTGACATTAATCCATCAGCAGTGATTCATGAGCAGGGACTCTCATTGTTCACTTCTATAACCTCCATAGCTTCAAAGTGGAATGTAGGGTTTAACTTCTGAGGATCACCACTGGAATTGCCTGTGAGCTTTCTTCAGTGTTCTGAACTTGTAGGTGAGGGTAGAAGTTACAAGAACTATTCAGTGGCCATACGTAGAATTTAAGACAAATATGTGAAAGTGTTCAGGTTGGAAGCTATATGGACTATTTTGCTTATTAATACTAAACTTTCTACGCTGTGATTAGCGGATTGAACATGAGCTTTTGTATTGATATTTTGACTACATGTGTTCTTAATGCTGATCAGGTGTGCGATGCTCTTTGGTGGAATTTTGTCCTGTTTTGTGAGGAGAGTCTTTTTGAGTTCAGAATGCTCTTAAGTTGAGTTTATGATGGAACCACTTAATCATTCTTGAAGAGTTCCCTCATGGCTTATAAAGATCTTTTCAGATGGTTGAGAAAGTGGGGGAGTATCAGCAATTGATGGACTTTGCTTTCAGTCCCTTGCTGTTGGTGGAATCCGTAGACATTCCCGGGTGGAGCTGTGCCTCTCCTCTGTGTGTCTCCTGTGGTTCAGCAGCTCTCGCTGGTCAAATTATAAGGCATAGCTTCAAATTAGTCATTTATTAAAACATACAATGAGTGCTATCACATTTAAAATTGTAAACAGTTAAAGATTTTCATTTTTAAAAATAGAGTAAGTACCCTTGAGTTCCACAGCATTTTAGCTGAGTTCATAGCTGAGACATTTGTGATTCTGAGGCATGTAGAACGTTTGTATCTTTGGAACACCCACCTTATCACCCCTTTTAGGTAAACCTTTAAGCATTACCTGTGGTCACAGGGAAACCCTAATTTGAATGGCTATTGGGTGATGAGGAGACAAACCTTATCACACTCAAAACATTTTGAGAAAAATGTATGATTTCAAAGAAAATACCAGGCATTTTTATTTTTGGAAGAGAATGTATATTACGTTGTTTTTTTTTTTTACAAATGTAACTGCTTTATGTTCTGGAGACATCTTCCAGTGGGACCTTTTAAGTAATGTGAATTAAAATTTCTACATTTGGTTGCCTTGCTAGGATGGTTATCCTAATGTCCTAATATTCAGCTCTCTTATGACTTTGGTTTTATGTTTTGTGCTGGTATGCTTATAGAAGTTTAATAATTTAATATTTTCATGTATTTTATTGTTGGAGATGGAAATGGGTAATTTAGCTTGGGAATATTTTTTGAAGTTAGCTTCAAATTAAAATGTGTGAATTAAGTGATCTGTTAGATGTGTGCATTTTTAAAAACAATCTTTCTAAAGTTACCCTCAGCATGCGTGAGCACTCAGTAGTTTGGTTCCTATCGGATTGTAATTTCATCAACTACAAATTATATCTGGAATGAGCTAAATAATTATTTTTTAGGTAACGTACCTTAGATGTGTTTTTACTCTTCAGTCATTGAACACTGACTCCTCTTTTTCAGAAATAGTCAATGTTCAATGTGTAGTTTTAAATGTAAACACATTCTTTCCCTAAAACACAGCATAGGGCATGTAGTAACAGCAAACAGTTGATTGTCTCAGATCAGTAGGAGACTTGCTCCCCTTGCAGGGTGGTATACTGCTTGTGTTCACTAAAGTTAGTAACTGACGAAGAGAGTTGGATTTGAGGTTATTGTTGGAGTAGGAGTTTGAACTCAGAGCTTCGAGCTTGGGTTCTACCCCTTAGGCCAGGCCTCCAGCCCTTTTGCTCTGGTCAGTTTTGGACATAAGGCCTTGGCTTGTTGCCCATGCTAGCCTGAACCAAGATCCTCCTGTTTATGCTTCATACCTGGGATGACAGGCTTGTGCCACCACACTCAACATTTTTTTGTTGAGATGGGGTCTCTCACAAACTTTTTTGAGGAGTGGTCTGGGCCCACAATCCATACCATCTCAACCTACTGCATAACTTGTAAGGACAGGCATGCACTACTGCGCCCCGCTATTAGTTGAGATGGGGTCTCACAAACTATTTACTGGGACTGGTCTCCAACCAGATCCTTCCAGTGTCAGCCTCCCAAGTAGGTAGGATTAGAGGAGTGAACCACAGGACCAGGCTTGGTAGGTGCTGTTTTGGTTTTGGGTTTTTTTTTTTTACGGTACTGGGGTTTGGACTCAGGGCCTACACTTTGAGCCACTCCGCCAGCCCTTCTTTGTGAAGGAATTTTTTCAACATAGGGTCTTGGAAACTATTTGCCTGGGCTGGCTTTGAACTGGTATCCTGATCTCCACCTCCTGAGTAGCTAGGATTACAGGCATGAGCCACTGGCACCAGGCTGGTAGGGGCTGTTTTAAGATAAAATGTCTTTGAGAAGTCATTAAGCATTTCAAGCATGGAGACAGAATAATAAAAATGTTTCCTTTTACATATAATTTCATTAACATTTGACCAATATTTTTCTGTTTCTTGAATTGTGTAAACTTGTCAGTGCTTCTCCTCAAAACTGTGTTACATAACCAGATACAGTTGATTTTAAAGTTGTACAGATAAATCCTGTTTTTTAAAAAGATGATTTAAAGGCCATAGAGAAGAGCATTTGAAAAAAAAATTACTGCATTTGTTTAAAAGGTTAAATTTCTTGGCCTCTGTTTCCTTATCTACTGAAAGGGCCTAATACCTAACTCACCTACCTTACAGTGTTCCAAGATTCAGTTCAGATTTAAAGAACCTAGTGATATTATAGACTTGCCTATTTAGTCTTTTTGATACTGCTTGTATTTTAAATACATTTTAAGCCATTACACAATAGTATAAGAATGCAGAGGTGTGTGGAGTAGAAAGCCAGATCTGTTATGTTCTGCTCCCTTGCTCAAGTTTTGAGTGCATCCTTCTGGACAGTTTCTTTGAAAACCTGTAATTGGCAGTAATGATAGTGAGATGGCAGTTTAGAAGTCCCAGTTGCTGACCTTGGTTTAGAATGGAGACAGAGGACCTGTCCACATTCAGCATTTTTTATATGGCTGCTTGGATATAAGAAATCAGCCTTTAAGAAAGTCCCGTGTACTGAAAAACATTTTAATTTCTTTCATGTATTTGATGCTACTAAACGTGTTAAGGACAGAAATGTGACTTGAAATCTGAGTGATGGTTAGTTTCATAATTTTCAGTTAGGATGTCACTATGGCAGTTTGTGTACCTTTAGGTGTGTAAAGGTGACGTTGAAAACTAGTGAGAGGCAGGAGAGTGGAATGCTTTGTTTTGGTGGGACTGGGGTTTGAACTCAGGGCTCTGTGCTTTGCAAAGCAAGTGCTCTGCACTTGAGCCACACCTCTCAGAGTGGAATGTTAGTACAAACAAAATAGTTCTCAGAGGAGGGTCAAGCTCCTGAAAATGTGATCATCACCTGGCGCCCAAGTAGTTGGAAGGAAGGAAACCCATCCAAAAGTGAGTTGCTTTCCAAGTGGCTGTTGTGTTTACCAGGACTGTCACTGGACTGAGACCACACTGCTGCTGTTCTCAGAAAGTGCAGCAGGGTCATCTGTGACCCAGCCATTCTGCTCCTAGGTAAAGGCCCCAAAATAGTTGGAAGCAGACTCAGCTCCTGTGTCAGTGTTCACAGCACACAGCGTTGTACCTAATGGCCAGAAAGTGGAAACAGTCTGGGTGTGTGATGTATACCCAGTGGGGTTGTCAGCCATGGGAAGAAGTATAACTCTGGTAAGGCGAGGCAA